TGAGAGCAATTGTGGAGCGGACCTGTGCAATATTCCGAAAACTATTCTCAAAAAGTTCCAGCCAAATTTGAAATATTTCAAAAACACTGCGCGTCCATAGTTTTGAAATGGACTGTAGTATAACTCGGGAACGGCTGCTTCGATCACCCTATTTTGAAGTAGGACCTTCAGTGCATTTTTCGCTACAAGTTGTGAAGTTTTCATTTTAGGGTGAACTTCCCCTAAAAAATGAACCAAGGAACTACAAGTTACGCTATACTGTTCACTAACACCACCAGCTACTGGACAATCAGCTCGTGCGATAACATTGCACGACACATTCTCCAGTAACTGGTGGTGTTAGTGGACAGTATACGCCTACAGTTTGTAGTTCCTTGGTCCTTCTTCTTTCCTTTAACTGTTACTTGGCTCTCCATCCGAGTCATCTTTGCACACGTGATGAGTCATCTTTGCACACGTGATGAGTCATCTTTGCACACGTGATGAGTCATCTTTGCACACGTGATGAGTCATCTTTGCACACGTGATGAGTCATCTTTGCACACGTGATGAGTCATCTTTACATATGCGGCGAAGCGATAGTCATGTGAAGCTGCTGCTTGTTCCTGCTGCTTATTAGTCCATCTGATTGTCATTGACCAAGTACAATACTGTGTTACTGAGGCGTTCGGTTTTGTACGATATCTGTTTGCTTAATGATAGCTTGCATAGACCTCGGTCCTACCGGTAGGACCTACCGGTAGGACCATCATACACAGACATGCTGCATGGCCTCTGTTCTAACATTGACCTAAAACCTGACCCTAAACTGTTGCTCAGGGGCTAATGAAGGAGTCCACAAATTTTAGACGTGATCGCACAAGGCATAGTACGAAATTCCATGGTAACAGCAAATGGTAACCATGGAAACGGTGTATGGAATTATGCATTCCACTGCCTTGGCTGACGAATAAAAACATTAGTACCTCACCACGATTGATGTGTCATGGTCAAAATTCACTTTGGACAGAGTTGCTAGCGTTCCGACAGGAGTATGTGCGGCCATTTTGACAATTGATAAAATTGCGCGTATGCAATGCACTGGACATAGTCTTGCATTTTGCGCCATTACTTTGCCTGACAAAGACCTCATCTCAACAATTGTTTCAAGAAATTTCTCAACCAAAAGCACTTTTGCAGCGCGATTTCTTGGGTCCTACCGGTAGGACCCGTGGTCCTACCGGTAGGACGGCATGCAAGCTATCATTAACTTCCCCTCCAATTGATTGTGTGTTATGTTGCTGTGCGTCCTTGAATCATGGTTTGACCATATTGTCCAATAATCTTGCCAGTATCATCATCGACATGCATGTACACCCGCCGACGTCCTTCACAGCTCAGACTTTCAGCTTGTGCTTGCCTTGGTTGCGCGCACCTTCTCCTCCTATGTTAGTACTAACTTAGAACCTTTCAAGTTGGAAGGCAGTTGGAATGCGCATCCAAGACGTGCTAGAGCTGAATGGAAGTTAGTTGTAGGACCGTTGGTCAGTGTCGTGCAATGTTATCGCATGAGCTGATTGTTTAGTAACTGGTGTTAGTGAACAGCGTAACTTGTAGTTCCTTGGTCCTTTTTCTTTCCATTAACCTCTCATTATCAATAATTTTTGTTTTGCATGGCAACCCTTGGACACAAAATCGAATCAAGTTTTCGGAATGCGAAAAATACGCTGACAGTGACGTCTTTCGGCGCATACTTTATCATAGTCGAAAATATTCTGAAATTCGGAATGCAAAACTTATTTAAATTTAAAAAAAGAGGACGAAAGGTTTACAAGTTAGGCCATGGTAAAAATTATCTTTGATTCTCAAGTACACGCGCACCGATTTTTGGCGGCGCACCGACGATTTATTTTTATTTCTATGCATGAAAACGGTCAATGCGAAAGACATGAATCAGGGAGTAAAACAGAGAGGTTCCAGGCTGTCCAAGAGAGTGCTCAATACCGAATGGTAGAGCTGGTTCAAACAATAGGGGGACAGAGGAAGTGTACTCTGAGTAAAAACACTTCCTCTGTCCCCCTATTGTTTGAATCAGGGAGTAGTAAAATACCGGTATTTATTCTTTATTTTTTACCATGGCCTTATGCGTTTAGTGCCCAACACTTAAAACAATTATATGCATGATACTGGTGAATCAGAACATGCCACGGTAAGCACAGCACTGACCGATGAGATACTGACACTCAAGACGTGACGCAGCTAAGCATCGGGTCGTTGAATCTCAGTATCTCATCAGTCAGTGTTGTGCTAATCGTGGCATGTTCTGCCTTGCCAGTATCCTGCCTATGATTGTTAGTAGATTGGACACTAAACGCATAACTTGTAAACTGTTGGTCCTCTCAGTTTTAATTTTAATTATTGGCTCTCCACCTCTCCTGAACTGCAAAAATTATATTTAAAGGATTGCCGAGAGGCTCTAGGCCTGTCTCAGTCAACTGGGAACTTGTGGCCAGGCACATGGATGCACCTAATGGGGTTTCTCGGCACTTGTCTGTCCCTTGGGGAAAACGCGGGGAAAACGGGGTTAGCCCGCAAAAATTCAGATTCCGCGGGCAAAAGTGCGGACTCCGTGATTTCCGCGGATGATGGCAATTTCTGCGAAAATTGCATCGACCGCGGAGTCGCGTTTTTCCAAGGGGACAGACTGTTTTGTGCCAGTGGTTGTGAGACTTATCTCCTCAGCCCCACCATTAGGCGCTGCATCTGCCGCTACCACACCATCTGTTTGATTCTCTCGGAACGTCATCTCAAACTCAATGGTATGAATGGTAAAATAAGTGTGGTGGTGTAAGAAAAAGATATACTATAGTAGATAGGAACCATGAATGAGTTGGAAAAGGACATTGAGATTTTATTAACAAGGGTTTACCAGGTCTTAGGCCCTCATCAGACTACGTACATAGAAAATCCAGTACAAAATCACATAAAACCTAAAAGGCAACATTTTTCCATGCCTGCATTCAGACTACACATTTTGCATGTAATATACAGGCAACCTTTGACCCTACGAAATTTTGCAAAGGGCCTGGGATGTGTGAAAGCAGCGGACAGTCGTACCCGGGTACAAAGTTCGTACAACTGCCTGGTGAAAGTACGATAAATCCAGGAAAGTTGCCTTCTACAAGGGTTGGCCGCCTGCCTGAAAGGATTGGGCAGCTTTTTAGGCTTCCCGCCAGATTCTTGTTGTTGTCTTGGAAACTTCTATGTAAATGTGACTTATAGGCTGTTTTGTACCTAGTCTGAAGAGGGCCTAAGCGGCCTTCGGGAACGGACACGATAATATATTTTTTATTTTTTACTAGGCTCTTCGAGTGGATCTCCTGCTCACAGAAATATCAGGTATCCGTGAAAGAGTACACGTGTACAAAAAGAAAAAGAAAGAAAAAACAGAGAAAAGAAGTACCGCTATACACAGCAATTTAGTGATTTGTATCTACTGTAGTACTGACTGGGTATGAGGTTAATATAGGAAATAAAAGCCGAGTAAAAGACTTCGGCTTCACCTCGGTCTTTTACTCGGCTTTTATTTCCTATATCGACCAAGTACCAGGTACAGTACCAAGTCAGTAATATGTAGATTGATAACGATAAACAGTTCGTGTTTCAATAAAGGCTTCCAGAACGATAACCTCGTGAATCCAGCTTTTATGATCATGCGCTGCACCGTTGCACTGCCATCTACTCATAGACGGTCTACATTATATGAGTCATAGTCAGACCACCATGCGTGGGATATTGGACACTGCTGGGTGTGTGCTAGGCACGGGCGGATTATGCCGGCAGAAAAATTGGCAGAGTTCGGTGGTAAGTTTCATGCATGTTTGGTATGTGGATAAAGAAATGGAGCAGAAGTCGAGGAATTCAACAGAGGAGTGAACTGCATTGTATGCTGCGAAAGCCGTGTTTTTGTATTTGTAACTAGTGGCTGTGTTATACGGTGGAATTGGATAGGTAGCATAGCATCGCAGCCATGTTTTCGTTCTCACAGAGTGTATTTCGTGACCTACTGTTCTTCATTACTGTCTGTAGTGATGGCAAGACGGCCTGACGTCGTCCAAAGGCCCTGCGGAAGCAATTCACTGCCCTCCTCGTCCATTCAGGGGCTCATTTGACACATTTTACACAAAATGGCAAAGCACCCACCACTAGTTATGCCGACGTGGCAGGGAGAATTAAATTATATGCACCAAATTTTCTGGTCAATGTTGATCTACGATAAACTGGCTCTCATTTGCCACCACCCATGTTTCGATACAGCCATCCGGAGCAGAGAAACAGCCAGAAGAAAAGCAAATTTGACACATTTGTTAAAAAATGCCAAATGTTTAAAAAAAGCCAAATCACCTCGCTCGTATGGTATCTGCAAAAAAAAGGAAAAATTATTGTGAGAATTATTGGTGACATTTATATAATATGCATAATTTATGGGGATTTTGAGCAATGCTCAAAGGAATTATCGGTAAAAACTAGAGTCCATATTCTTATCTTGGTAAAAATACGAACATATTCCGCGGAAGCCTACAACCAGGCCAGAGTAAGTAGTACAATATTGTACTACTCCCTGCCTACAACTGTGAAGCAGGGAGTAGTACAATAACATACGGTATTGTACTCCCTGGCCTGCAAGCTGCAGGGAGTAGTACAATAGTACCGTAACATACTATGTGGCGTACTCACAGTCCCAAAGTTAACACACATGTACGGTGACATTCGAGTCACACGTGTACGTGTGGATCTACTATACGTAACGTAACGAGTAACGTCGTTGAAACGAGAAGTCACGACTTTGATGTGCAAAAACAATACGACGTCATAACTTTGTAGCATTTCTTTCATATTGCATCATCGATCCGTACCCGGGTGATGTCATATCATGGATATTCATGATTAATTCAACAAAAAAATAGTTCCAGTTGAAGCATCGCGCAGTGCGCAGGCGCGCTCAGAAGCAGTCTTCTTGTTCCTGTGAAAGGTTGAGAGCAGAACCGAGAGCCGGCCATGGCTTTTTGATCAGTTGTCCAAGCTCCCCAAAGCATGTTTGAACCTCCATCCTAGCCTTTGTCGGTGATAAGTGTGCCGTATGGTACATTGGGGCACGTTCCTAGCCGGTCTTTGTACTAGTTCTGGTTGGATCGGCCGTTGCATCGCGAAACTGGCACAATGAGTGAACCGACGTCAAAACGTTGCTACACTGGTTCTCTTGCAACTGGCTCAGGTACCGATATTCTTGTGATCATATTTCATCACATATCTTTGGTTTGGGAAGTTTTATTTTTATATGTTCTGTTCATGTATTGTTTCAGACCTTCCTTCGGCTGAGAGGGTGGATGGCAGTCCGATCGAAGCTGTGTTGGCTCAATCGTCTCGGCCGGTTGCGAGTTCAGCTGATTTTATGAGTATATTCAGTTCGGATGGAAAAGGAGATACTGGAGGTCTTGCCACATTGGCGCATAGACATCCATCTCCTGCACTGGCTGCAGCTGTAAATACTTCACCTGCGCTGGAGCACGTTGAAGCGTCTCTCACTGGCGCGCATTCTGCTGTCAGTCAAAGCATTTCCACCATGACGGGTGCTGGGATGGACAAACCTGTTCCTGGTGTTAGTAGTATTGTTAGTAGCAGTCTGCCTCTGCCCACCGTTGGTGCTATGCCATTTTCAAACACCAACAGCAGTGGACTCGATTACATGCATGGAGCGCCAGCAACGCAGGCAGATTTATCAACACAGGTGCGTTTATTTTCTGTATTTTTTTGTTGCTACACTACTGCATGTCCGTACTATGCATGGTTGCATAATTAAATGTAGTCCTCAACGCACATCGAAATGCTACTGCACATAATCATTTGCTCGACACTCACAGCAGCCTTCTTCGTCCGGGATGTAGACCGTAATCAGCCTTGCGGTACATGAGAAACTGAGCATGGGAGTTGTGGGTGCGGCGACACGATTATGGACAGTGTTGTGTTAGGAACGTTTATGGAGGGGGGGGGGGGGGGGGGGAGGGGGCGGCGTACCCTTGGTGCCATGAGGGATTTCCCTTGTTTAGCCCGGTACGAGCCGTGCCTACTTGAAATCGGCGCTTTTGGACCAGTGAACGTGGTGCTGTTCAATAAATCGTAACTTCGTCAAATCAACTTTTGAAGGGTTGCACATCTGACTGCGGAATCCCATGACACAGCTCACCAGATCCAGGTGCGGGCCTCTTCACTCAGTGGAGTCGAGAGAGCTCTACACTCAAACGCCTCTTATCCGGACGCCTCAGATACGGGCACGTCTCTATACCGGGCACCTTCAGCTTGAGTTCCTATGGCAAAAATACCTTGAATTTGGGGGGTTGAGCTTTTTTTCGTATGCGCAAGTGCTTATTTGTCACTGCCAATCTGTGAAATCCACACATTCTTATCAATGGATTCTTTCTTTAACCTGAACATGTGCATTATGTGCCAAACAAACTTCTTCAAAAAATGATATGATACATGGTAGATGAGTTATCCTGAGACACGGGCAAATCTGAGATACGGGCAGTGCCCGGATAAGAGACGTCCGAGTGTACTTCCGGGTGCCAAGAGGCGGACTTGCACTCCGGTATGGCATCGTCCCCATGTCTCACCCAGTAGTAGTCATATTGGTCGAAGATTTAAAAAAGAGAGATCTAAATGGGAGAGAAAAGTCTTGTAACCGAATAGCTACGAGCAATGGATGTCTAAGTAAATCTCATGAAACATAGTTGTAGCAAATAGTCCCTGAATATCACCCAATGCTAGTTCAGTTCATGGGATTTCTAGATTTTTGTTACACAGACAGAAGAACGAGCAGTTTTTCATAACTCTGAGTTTCACGAACGACTGCTCGTTCTTCTGTCCGTGTATTCCGCTTGCTTTCGGCAAATTAACCCCTCTACGGACGGTGGATGAACTTCACATGGTAGATTTTTGTTATAATTATATAGAGTATCATGTTAATGGGTTTTAATTTTAAAGAGTGGTATTCTAGTACAGGATAAATTCGAAATTCAGCGATCAAAGAACACAAGATCGCCAGTGCAGGACGGAATTGTCCCTGTTTGGAGTACGATCCTGTTTTCGCTGCTCTCCAGCGCTGAAAATGTAATGTCTTTGTCATGCGCGGCTCCATTTTATTCCTTGCGTGGAGACCATTCCAGGAAGCACAGGGTAGCGAAGATAATAAAGAGAGAGGGACAGAGAGACCGAGACAGGGAGTGCTAGTAGTATTGGAGTTACGATCCAAGGAACATCAAGAATTGTGGATATTCCTTCTGACATATGTAATGCGGCAGCTCCTAAAGGGCGCAAAAATGTGGTAACGACTTGGCAATTGGAGAAAGTGTGCATTGTTCCATAACTGGGGCCTTGTTCTTTCCTGCTGACTTGACACTTACGGACTCACGACTACCATCCAGAGAACATGAGACGGCCATCGAACCTTTGACAAAGCAAGCCTGCAAGAAAGCAGCGCCTCTACACGTGTTTTGGGGAATTCGCACCTCATCAGTTGAGTAGGCAGGTGTAGTTTGTCTCCGGTGGTCACTATTTTACAGCACGCCAACCGTACACATCACCAGGAATACCAACTTACGCAGTTGCTCTGTGCTAAATACCTCATAAATGTCAGCTAGTAGTGAGAAGTCAGTTTCGCCCATTGAGGTGCAGACTAAGAACTGATGGCCGTTGGCTATTTATAACGTTGCCTCGAAACCAGTTAGCTAATTGGATTATGTCGAAAGGAATTGTGTTGAACAGTGTTTGCAATGCGATCACTCGTACGTGTGCATTTATGTTGGGATTATGGGTGCTAGAGAGATGTTGACGATCCTATTGGCACGAGGTGGTACATTTGAGCTATTATTCTCTGTATCATTTCGCACAGGGATCATTTGTCTGTAACTGTCACTGTCCTATTTTCACTTGTTTTGCTTCAGCTGTTGATGAATTCAACCAACTCTGGCAATCATGTCTTCCCGGCTCTGTCGGAGAGCAGTCATCAGATGACGAACTCTCCTCTGAGTACCAACGCGGCCAGTGCACTTCCCGTTATGGGAATGGGAATGGTATGTAGGATTGTGCTCATAGATTCAACCGCTGCTAGTGTGTCGCTTGTCTCCTTCGTCCTCCTCTCCACCGAGGACTCATTTCCCGCAGAATGTTCTTTGCACTTGGTGTGTGTGTGTGTGTGGGGGGGGGGGGGGGAGCTTTGAATGAGAATAGTTCTGATTAACCCTTTCACTGCCAGCTGACCAATCAAGATGGCAATGCATTACCTGCCAGGCTATCAGCTGAGCCCTTCCTGCCAGGCGCTTTTTGTATCCAGCTCCAAAATTGAAAGGCCAACTTCTCATGGAATTTTTGGCTTTTTCCGTACGGAGTATCGCTTTCCAAAGTATGCACTGTAGGTAGAGAACTCATAAAGGAAGCCATTGCTGTAAAAACTTGCAAAATCCGAAGTACAAGTGCGCTGGGCATTGTAGCGCCAGTCGCTGTGCAATGCAACAATACAATAATTATGTCATGCGAAAGTGCGCCATGTGCCTCATGAACTACCTACACGATAACACCATGGACACGGCCCGGACAGTTGCGAAGTTAATTTGTAGTTTGGGGGAGAGAAGCACAGCCTTTTTTTTCTTTTTTCTGTGGGGTTGAAAGGTCTGCATAATAATAATAATAATAATCTGCCAGTGGACCGGAGAACTATAACACTTGAAGCAGAAGAAACCGCTTACTGAAACTTCTCTGTCTTCGTGGCAACAGGACTTCAGTTTGCGAGTTCGTCCTGTCACTGCAGATGCAATTCTTGTTGCTGCCACCAGAACATTTGGAGAAACGATTGGAAGTCGTTTGGTGAAGCAGATTGTGTCGGTGCTCCAGCCGCCTGGAGTCTTGGGCAATAGCTACAGTAGAGTCGCGCGCCCAAGAACGTTGTTTCCAAGGGGTTAGCCTGAGACGTTCTTATTTTTCAGCCATCTGGCGGCGTTCTTATACCACGTTCTTAGAAACAATCCGTACTGGATCATGTGTATCCCACAAGCTGCCAGAAAACCAACACCGACGTTCTTAGCTTTAGGCTGTGGCGTTCATAGAATTTCAGGCCGGACTTTCTTGGGCTTCACGTTCTTCAGCGTGCGACTCTACTGTAGGCACCAAGTCTGGACCAAATTTCATGCTCCGTGCAACGAAAGTTGACGGGAAATGGAAAAACACTCGCACTGACTCAGCGAGGTGGAAGTGCGTGAGAACCGAGTTATTCCTCGCCGCTCAGTTAAAATTTGGATGCATGTTTCAACAACACTGGTTCGATTTTTTCTTATGGCACCCCATACTCCTGGCTGCGTATTTCGATGGGTATGGACCTTTTCCAGGGTCCAATGGCCCTCTACCACGGCTAAGCATCTCCAATATTGGAAAAAGTATTGGCCCAGACGCGGTGAAGTTTGTCCATCGATAGTAGCACTGGGAACTGCATGTTTGCTGGTTGACAAGTCGACAGTGGGACTAAGAGTGCATGAATGGAGTCGACAGTGCCAGTGGAAGGTTAAGCGGATGGCTCGGTCAATGGAATAATGCTTTCTCAGCCACTGTATACCGTATTTCCCCGATTGTAAGGGGCACTCGATTATAAGTCTCACCCACACTTTGAGGTTTGAACCACATTGTTTCAATACATGCATATAAGTATGATGTCACTCTCGATTGTAAGTCGCATCCCCTTCTTTGCCCTTGAAGCTTAGTACGAAAAGGTGCGACTTATATTCGGGGAAATATGGTCGGAGCTGGGAACTCCTCTGATGAAGTGACTCATGTCACAGAAACCGGTCAGGTTAAAGAACTTGCAACTCTCCTTGCTTGTGAGTGCGTGGTTGTTATGTTTAAACTTCCCGTGTAGGACCTTCGCCGCTGCTTCACTATTTGTTGAATGTAATCTCTGTTTCCGTCTTTTCACCTTGCCTTTCTGTGTTGTTAGAATCACACTGGATCGACTTCCAATTTCATGCTCCAACAACCGCAGAACTCCATGGAGCAGATGTCTTCCCTTCCGCGTGAGAAAACGAAGCTAATTCAACAACAGCTTGTCCTGCTTCTACATGCTCACAAATGTCAGCGTCGTGAGACTGTTCCGAACGAGCCCCCTTGCAAAATACCGCACTGCAGGATCATGAAGTTTGTTCTGACCCATATGCAAGTCTGCCAGGCTGGGCGGTCTTGTGAAGGTAAGACTGCAGGCTACTTGCACTCACTACACTCAGTTAGAATATCACTTTGACCCTTTCTGGATCTTTGACAATTAACCCTTTCACGGTCTCAGAATCCAGTCAAAATGAGGCTATTTACAGAATTCAACAATTTCGTACCTTGATTCATCCATAACTTCAGTTTCCCTTCGCTGATTTTCATGGTCTTGGGCTCTCTGGAAAGCTCTGGACACGAGCAACACGCCAAGCTACAATTCGACACCAAGCGTGCCGTGGATCCAGCGCTGCAGCGCAGCGACATCGCCCCAGTGCTTGATTCACGACGAGAAACAAGATTCAACAGCCATTTCCCTCTCCTTGCTCACATCAAGCTCACATTTTTTGTGAGGAGTGCTGCGAGTCCATACTCTCATTTGAATCCGTGTCTCTATGGCGACAGCTAGCTGCAAAGGGAAAAACCCGTCCTCAAGACCCAGCTCGCCCACTCAAATCGCAAATGAGCCGTGACGCAGATCGCGAGCTTCGTAGCATCGCAGCCGTTCACTCTATCGCTTCGGCGATTGTTCCTACTGATAGCCTGGAGCTTTCTCTTCAACCTAGATATTTAGATGTTCGAATTTGCTCAAAAATTGACTGAGTTACGATAGTTTGAAAAAATCGATCACCGGTGATCGATTTTCAAATGTGAGACCGTAAAAGGGTTAAACTCGTCATGCAGCCTTCACCGCGTCTGCATACCCTCATTTGACGGATGATAATTGTTGATATTGAGTATCCAGGATAAAAAGTTCATGTACTGATTTTACGACCCGTTAGGCACATTACGTTTCACTGTAGTTTATGTAAGAATGGTGTATCCTGTCCTTTTCTTTGCTCCTTTCAGTTGCACACTGCTCATCATCGCGTCAGATCATCAACCACTGGAGAAACTGTGCGAAGCCGGACTGTACTGTGTGTAGTTCACTGCGGGCTCCCAATCGACCTGGTAAGTTACTCTTGTGTTACTGTTATTTTTGAACGGGTAGGTGATCATAATATCTGATTGTGGATAACTGAATTGTAGTCTGGCCCTTCTTGGCTGACCATTCAAATCATGATGCTGTCGATTTTCCACAACTACACCGACATTTAGAAGTGCATTCACGGGCTAGACGTGGGAATTGTACACGATTCAAATATACCGAGATCTCTTGTCACGCACTACGTGTATGTACATGCCATTGTACTACCAGTGCCTGCACACACATACACAGATAAATTACTGGATTCTGCCTATGCCCGACGTACTGTGTCAGTTTGCTTTGTTTGATGCCACACTCCTTTGGCATACATTACGAATAAAGCCCATTGTGCTTTCATTGCCACTGGCGGGGATGTGTCCCTCACTGTACCTGTTCTCTGGTTTAATCACCAGTCGACACCTATATACTTAGGTACAGCGCCATATTGTTTTTGTACAGATGTTCTGAATGGCGTGAACTCAACACCGGGCATGGTGAATGGACTAAACCCAGCAGCAGCTGCTGCCTCCATGATCAAAGCGGAACAAGGCATGGGAATGCTGCCTCTGCCTGGGAATGGTGTTGGTGCTGCCGGATCTGCTGGTGCAACGCCACTGCCCGGTATTTCTAATCTCGGTCTGCATAATGGTTCGGCTATGTACAACAACTTGCCGAACAATGGCATGCTTCCTTCTGGTGGCAATCACATCGGTTCAGCTCCTGGTTTTGGCATACGTGGTGGTAGTCCTGGCCTGCTTCCCACTGCTGCGTTGCCTACGGGTCATGTTGGTGCTGGCAATATGCAACAGCCAGGTGCCTACCCCATGGCCAATAATGAGCACAGCACCAACCTGGTCATACAGCAGGTGTAAGTTTTCCATTCTTAACTATGGCACCGCTTGTGTGCACCTGTTTCTACTTCTGTGAGCTGAATTTCACCTGGTTTTGAGTTATGATCCTACAGAAATGTGCACCTGTTAAGTTTGCAGAGGAAGCACACCAGTGTTATCCTGTGTTGTGCCAAACCTAGCCTCTTAGTTACAGCACTGCTGGTTTACCTATTTCGTGTGAGAAGCATAGTATTCTGGGTTGTTTTCTTACCCCAAACTTCTATCCTGAACACCCTTTGTGTTTGATCTTGGCATTCACCCAGTGTCGTGTCCTGAGAAATCTGACTCACTATCTGCTTCGTACGTTTGCGTGTTGACGCTGCTGCTAGTCCTGTCATGTTTTCTCTGGCTGTGATGCTATAGGTCCAGTTTGTTGCAAGTTTGCCCACCTGTGGCGAATCAACCTTGGCATGAGAGTTATCCCAACGCCCGTCGCCAGGATGTCATTCGCAAAGTGTGAGTTCTGTTGCCATTGTCGGGTTTTGAGTGTGCTTGGTGAAGCATCCACATACATTTTAGTACTAGTTGCATTGCCTCGTTGTATCAGGCTGCACAAGCTGTCGTGGGGTGCATCAACATTGAATACCAGGGGCAAGTGTCAACTGCAAGAGGGGCTCTAGAGGCAAACAGTTGTCCTAAGCTAAAGAGGTTTGTGTGGACATCTGTTTTCATCTCTGCCCAATGACGTTTACTGTGCAAGTAACTCTTGTCTGTTCTGAAATGTTTTCTCTTCAGGTTTCAAAAGCTCGCCATGTCTAATCCTCATCTACACCCTCGGCTTTACCAGGGCATTGGCCAGTTTTCCATGAAAATGGAAGGCATTTACTTCTCCCATGCGAAAAGCGAAGTGAGTTGTGTACATATTCTTTGTCAAATTGTGGATCTATTTTTTTTACTTCTCATGCTTGTTTTCATCTTTCCACTGTTGGTATGTGATTTGGTCTGATTGTGCGCATTTGACACCACAACCGGGAATTGTATAGACCTTGAAGAGAATGCTGCATGCACAAGTTTAAGCTGTGTGTACCTCATGACTCTTGGGGAAGCCCTGGGTAGAAGTCTCCAGGATCTCAGAATGTGCAGATATAGTATGACTATGAGATGCATTTTACGAAAGACACAACCCCCGTTAGCTGTTGATATGCAGCGAAGAATACCTGTGAATCAATAAGAGAGGATAAAGAATTGACAGTAAAGAATTGAGAAAGAGCCCTGGTCGATTATGCCTTGGTATTACTAGTCAGGTTTTCTGGAGTGAAGCAAATGGGTGAGATTGTGGGCGAAAAAAGGCAACACCCCACTCAACCATCGTCGTTGGTAAAACAAAAAAGCTCAACATTTCAATTGCATCCAGTATGACATAGACTGTGTTGCCACACCTGCCGACATGTCGGTAGACTGCCGATTTTGGAGGCTTGTCAGGACCTGCCGACAATTGACCTTCTCCTGCCGACAATAGCCCTGAAAAGTCCAATTTTGACCTTCTTGGTCTAGAAAACATGGTTCAGATTTTTTTGTTTTTTCTGATCATCACGAGTATTTTCCATAGACAGCTCTCTCCTCAGGTGCTAAGCGATATCATCGTCTGGCTCGAGAAAACCTGGAGTCATCAAGCAAAGTAGCTTTTATCCAACTGAACAAGACCGGGACACTCAGCCTTCGAACAATTTGAAGTTCGATCGGACGCTCTGACTTTTGTCAGTACGACCGTACTCGACTCATACGCACTGCACTTGCACTCGTGCCGGTGCACCGGCATGCGGCAGTGCATGCATGCACACGTAGATCTACTCGTAGATCTACGTAGTCGACTAGTCGTAGTGACTGTGTGCAGTCACTGCAGTGCCCCGCATATCGCGCATGCACTCGGCCCAGTGCATGCAGTGCATGCACGCGGCCCTGTGCATGCAGCGCCAGTGCCAGTGCAGCCAGCGGCATGCGGCAGTCAGTGTGCAGTGATCCGTAGATCTACCCGTCGCGCTTTGGATCGCATCCGGATGCTAACTGGGCCAGTCCGATCGAGCGTGGGCCATGCAGTAAGTCTACTTTTTTTTGTAGAACTCTCTGTACTGTAGCAGTGTCTGTACACACTGTAGGTCACACGATACGTGGATAGTCGATACCCGATACTCCGATAGTGCTAAGTGTGTCTTTCTTCTTTCATGCACTGGCGCCATGGCACAAGTCATAGATCTACATGACATACATTGTATGCTGTGTTTGCATGCATGCACCAGGCTGTATACAACGAGTCATGTACAATCAGACTGATGAGTGATGTACTGCATGCACTGCTACGCGATCCGGTGCATGCACAAATAATTCAATACAAGTACAGTAGTCAATAGTGTCAACTGAGACTTTCGCTGACTGTTCATGCGGTACTGTATTCTGTAGATCTAAATAGACTGAAATACTAGTAGTCACTACGTGGCAGTGCGCATTTAGCCTCTTGTCCTAGCAATAGATCCTGTCAGTGCTTTAGTCTAGACCATCTTATTCTACATGATGCAGACAATCATTACCGGTATTCATAATTCTGCTCGGACAAGCCCGTGCCGGTAACACCATTGGCATTCGCAAAGTCGAATACAGTACCTCGAGCCCTTCAGTCACGCAGTGGTGTCCCGCCCTGGCCATACATGATTCAGTCGTAGATCTGTCTCGCTTGCTTGCAACGCAGCTAGCCAAGAGGAGCAAGAGACGTCGCCCCTCCACGGCTCCAGACGTACGACCTGCGAGGCGAAATGGGTGCCCCGCCCTGTCACAGTACCGGTAATACAGTCATGTTCGGTACGATTCAGTCACAGGAGTCGACTCGTATGACTTGCGGGCTTGGAACACAGCTAGCCAATCGTCTTCGGACATACGATATCACCCGCGATGTGAAAAGAGCATCACACACGTACACTGCCACTGGATATGTCGCCCATTGTCGGTATGATGCAGCCCACCAGGCGCAGGTGTACTGCACCATACTGGCGATGAATAGATCAAGGCAGGAGTAGGACTTTTGTGGTGAAAACAGCAACCAAAAAAACATGCCAATGATGCAGCGCGCTGGTGCTCTGCAGCGTATAAAGGCGGAGTTGTGTCCTTGTGAAAAGTACCAGATGCCGGAGCAACGAGACTTCTTCTTCCTCTTTTTGTTTTGAGTCGGAGGTGATGTAGTTGACTTGTGTAGCGTAGCGTGCTGAGAAAGAAATACCGATAGTTTGCTTTATCAGTGTGATGTCTAAGTCTGACTCTGACGGGGAAGACTCCCCGCCACGTCCCCTAGCGAAAAGGAAGAGAGTAAAATGGTCCCAGGCTTACATGAAGGAATGGGAGGCCGAACCGGAGTTGTCTGGCTGGTTGACAAAATCCAAGCGGACTGAAGGAAAGGCCTTTTGCATAGTCTGCTGCTGCGACCTTAGTTATCACAACGGCGGAGTCGCTGACTTGAAGAAGCATGCGGGGCGGGATGTCCACAAGGCCAATGTCCGAAGTCGGGAACTGCATGGAGATTTGCGCAAGGTGAAAGCTGGCCCGAAGCAGCGAGATGCCATGTCAGTGGCATGCAGCAACGCTGTTTTGCAGCTGGGTTTTTTCCTCGCTGAGAATCATCTGGCAATTGCAACTGCAGACCGCTTGACACCGCTGATAGCCGCTATGTGCCCGGATTCGAAGATCGCTGCAGGGATGAAAGCTGCGAGGACCAAGATGACGGCCGTGGTGCACACAATTGCGGAGGATATGCACTCCAACCTCCTCCAGATACTACGAAGATCGTACTTCTCGATCATGCCCGACGAGTCCGCGGATGTTTCTGTACAAGAGCAAGTGGCTGTTGCGGTCAGAGTGTTCAACAGCGATGAGGGCTGTGTCCGAACCTACAGCCTAGGCCTGCGTCCCGTGGACCAAGCCAATGCAGAGAGTATTTTCGGTGTCATCTCGTCCATGTTGGAAGACGGTGGACTGAGCTGGGACAATGTCATTGGGTACTGCTCGGACGGTGCCAATGTCATGCGAGGGTCACGCAATTCTGTTATGACCCGGATCCTTGCCAGGCAGCCCCATGCGTACACCCTCCATTGTGTATGCCATGTTGCACAGCTGTGTGCACAAGCTGCGTGCGATGCCCTGCTACCGGATAATTTCCAGGACTGGCTTCAGCGTGTGGCGTACTTCTTTGACCGGTCTCCAAAAAGAACTGCCGCCCTGAGGAAGGTGCAACAAGAGTATGATGTCAAGCAGCACAAGCTAGTCAAGCCTGCGCCGACGAGATGGCTGAGCCTGCATGCATCTGTAATGCGGATGCTGGAGCAGTGGGAGGCCTTGCTCCACTACTTTCAGTCGTGCCCGGATGTCTGCCAACTGCAAAACGTAATGGACTGGGTGTCATTGATGGAGCGACCAGAAACGAAAGCGTATTTGCTGTTTCTGGGAGAGGTTCTCCCATTGTTTGTCACATTCAACCTCAGTTTCCAAAGTGAAGACGTGAAAGTTCACTTACTTTCAAAGTCCCAGGCCCAGCTGCACAGAATGCTCCTCTTTAATTGCGTGAAGGCTTCCGCAGTACGTGGCGCAGATGGCAACGTTGATACGGAGATTCAGCTTGACATTTATGATGATGAGTTGGAGCTGTCAAGGCGAGACATGATTATTTCGGCAGACGCTATGGCATTGCTCGCCACATTGCCGGACGAACGCCGAAAGCGGTTTGCAACCAGAGTTCGCAGTTTCTACCAGACGGCTGTGGTGCAGGTCAGGAGAAGGCTGCCGCTAACGTGCCCAGTGCTGCGTGGGCTAGAGTTCCTTTGTCCTGTAGCTGGAAAGGACTGTGCTGCTCAAAGTGTTGCGGATGTGGCGCGTGCGTTTCCGCATGCTGTGAGTACCGGCAGCCTGGATGCGTTGGTCCGAGAGTGGCAGTGCTACCAGTGTACCACGCACAAGAACCTTCCCACGGAAGTTGACCGCTACTGGCATGCAATTGGGAGGCTAACCGGTATCAACGGCGATGCAATGTTCCCAACGTTGTCGTCATTGGCTCGTGCTGTTCTTGCTCTGCCACATTCGAATGCCGACATTGAGCGCCAGTTCTCAGCAGTGACTGCGGATAAGACGAAGACAAGGAATCGAATGCAGGAAGACCTTTTGCAGTCGCTGATGACCATCACACAGAATAAGTCCTCCCAGGGGTTCAGCCCGACGGAGAAAATGCGTGAGCGCCTGCCTCACCATGTTGCTGTCGCTGCAGGCCGTGCCGTAGGAAACCAGCAGCCCGTGGACCCAGAGACCATTGCTATACCTGCAGCACACGCAGTGCCCGAGCCGGAATTGTCGAGCAGTGATTCTGCGTCTCAGGCCCATCCACCCAGCACTGTACCTGCTAATGTGTCGCTGCCAGTCAATGCCGCACCTGCTCAGGTGTCCGTGCCAGCCAATGCTACGCCATCTATGCATATGCCTGCTGTTACTATCTCTAGGCGGATTTGGCGTGTTGGGCAGCTCTGTGAGTACTATTTGCCGATGGAATGCTCACAGAGTTGTATAGATGGCAGAAGTGGTAGCAGTGCTTGTGCAGTGATTGCTACGTATGTTGTGTCAAGAGCATTACGTGGCCAGCTTGAGTTGCCTGCCCCAGGTGCACCACCCTCGCCTGCATGCAGCAGCACCTTTATCGGCTGCATCCGTGATGGAAACCGCACATACGACGCAGCTGGATTGAGCAGTGCCTTCCTATCTGTGTATGATGCGAAGGACCTCATGCCAGTCTCCCACGGTGTGTGCGTGATGAAAGATGGTGATCTAGGTATCCGCAACAATGCAGCCTGTAGAAGTGTGATGGAGAAAGCTGGCAACATGGCCATGAAGTGTGACCGCATCGTTGCTGGAGTGCTCGTGCACAACCCGTTGTGTATCGCCATTGTCTTCACACCACATGGCTTTGCTATTGTGTTCGACAGCCACCGTCACCGTGAGAAGGGACCAATGGTTGCTGTCCTGCGGCACAAGGCATCGTGGTCTGCCATGGGTGAGTTCATCCCGGGGCTGTTCCCTGGTAGCAAGCTGACTGACGGTCACTTTTGTATTCTGCAGGCATGTTGACTCATTTTGCTCTTCATGTAGTTGCATCTGAGTGCCAATTATCATTCTATTGTTGTTATTCGTTTGTTTAGTTTGTTTTGATTTCTTGGTTTATCGGGTTGGTTTTACTCTTTCAATTTTCATTTTATTTTTGGTGCTCTATTAAGCGCTATGTGGCTTATAATTTCCTTATTCTTCATTTTGTATTTTAGCGCTTTCTGGAGTTATCATTTTCGTTTTCTTCATTTTGCACCACATTATTATTTCTTGCAGATGTTTTAGTGCTAAGAAGAGGTTGGTGCGACTTCGGCAAGTCGGTAGGAAAAGCGTGAGCTCCCATGTAGGGAGCAACACACCCCTGTTTTAGTGCTACATGTAATTATTATAATATTGTCTTTTGGTTCAGTTTGTATTCTGCCAATTGTGTGCGTACATCAGTAACCCAGTGGATTTTCTGGTATGCCTGGTATAAGTTGCTTTCCACTCTACTTGAATAGTGAAATATGATGGTATATCCCTGATAAAATATCTTTTGTTAATAGCTATGCACAGCGTGTGTAATGCAAATGGGTGGTGAGGTGGCAGAGGACATTGATTGTTATGTAGTGGCATGTGTGTGTAGATAGTGGCGGTAGCGGGATCGGGGGTCCGGGGGCGAAGCCCCCGGACGATGCATTTTAGTTTTGAATCCTACTGATATTTGGCTAAAATGGTGTGGCAACACTGCATAGATTTCTCCTTTACTCAGTTTGTGTGGTCAATGCGTTCCATGTATAAATGATTTCCTAACACTAGATACGCTGTATGAGTCTCGTAGAGAACACTAGCAATGACAATTTTGTGGATTGTGATTTAATCATTTGCAGATGGAGTATATGAGTATGTTGTCAGCCAAAGTGGATGCTACCATACAGTCGCAGATTGCGAAACGCCAGCAGCAGCAGCAACAACAACAACAGGTGCAGCAGCAGCAGCAGCAGCAAAACGGAGGTCGAGGTACAGTGTGATGTAATAATGTAAACAGCCTAATGTTTGCGACATATTTATTTTTGCTAATTTTGCGAGAAGAGCATAACGCGAATATTGACCATCGTGAAATCAAACTTCAACAGTGAGTGTATGTGTGTAACCACAATTTTCCGTGAAAATTTGCCATCGTAAACTCGCTGGCTCTGAGAAACCTGGAAATATTTAGTGACGCGAATATTGGGCGGTTTACGGTATGTGCCTTGCAGTACATGCTGTAGGTCATTGGTGCGGTGTTAGCGAAGTGCTTTGGTGGATCCTGTGCAGAGATATACTAGTATGTTTAACAATGCTGATCCTATGCTTTCTCTGCCTTCATGCAGCTAACTCCATGAATATGGACATTGCAACACAACAGGCAATGACTGCGCAGCATATCGCTGCAATGCAGCAGCAGCAACAACAGCATCAGCGCCAGCTTCTCCACCAGCAACATCAGCAGCGCCTTCAGCAGTTATCCCAACAGCACCAGCAGCAGCAACAGCACCAGCAGCAACAACAACAGCAGCAGCAGATGGAAGCTCAGCTGAACCAAAGCCAGTCCACAGCACAGCAGTTTCAACGTCTGACCAATGCGCCTAACCGCTCAGCTTCTAGCACACCCGTGCTGAACATAAATGTCAAAACCGAAGGCGAGGTATGCATTATCTGTAGATTGTGGTGCAAGGTGCTCCAACTCCAGTTCTGTTGGAAAGTGTATTTTCTACATTGTGCAGATGAAACCGATTGTAGTGGGCTCGGCTGACTCGCTATAGGAAATGGATCACGATTGCTTTGGTCGTACGCTCTTGGTCCTACTGAAATTTTGCTCTAAAACACGTATGCTGACTGGGAATGAATCCTTCGAAGTGGACTAATAAAGTGTGTCCTTTTCCTCATTTTTTCTTTCTGCTGTAGGTCACATCTAATGTGTCGACAACGTCCGCCCCTTCATCTCAGCCTGTTGCTACTCCAATTCAGGCTGCAGTGTCCTCTGCTAGCTCTCTGTTTTCCAGCACTAACATGCTATCTGCAGTAAATCAGTCGCCAGCAGTTGTAGCTGCAGCGTCGGACAGCACACTTCTTCAACAGTCCGGTGCTGGAGACATGGATACTGGCAGTCTTCCCGCCGATATGTTTCCATCTACCACTCCAGAAGCTGAGGGTGTTCCAGGCAAGAAATGTAAGCTCATCTTATGCTGTTGATTCTAACCCTTTATGGACTGAACTCAATGTATGTGGGGAATTGTGCCCTCAAATTCTTTACCTTGAATTGGATGTAATAGTTTCCCTGGGACAATTGTCATTAACTTGGGCATCCTGGAAAGCCCCTGACGAGAGGAACACGATGAGCCCAAACTCGAGTCCACGAGATGCGCTGGACCAGCGCTGCAAGCCAGCGAAGGTGTTTCAGCGCAGGGCTCGCGCTCTAGATCGATCTCCATCCGCCATTTCACTTTCCTTACTCGTATGTAGCTGAAATATTTTGTGGGCACTTGTGGGAATCCCTGTTAGAGTTTGAATGAGCGTAGCCTTGCCAACAGCAGACGAGTTCAGGGGAATCCCGGCCTTTCAGTCACGCATTCACGGCCCTGAACGCTAATTGACTGTGACGAACGTTACGCGCTTCGTAACTCGCTCACCGTTCATCGTATCGCTTCGTAAATTGTTCGAGACCACAGCTGAGAGTTTTCTCTTCTCCCTACATATTTTGTTCTCTCCAAACAAATGAGAATTGACCAAGTTTTGATAGTTTGAAAATATTTGAAATGTGTAGAATTTATCGATCACCAGTGATCGATAAAAGTATGTGCCGTCGGCAAAGGGTTAACTGTTGGAGATGTAAAAATGGATCAGGAGAATAGTGCTAAAGCGATCTTGTTTAGGTTGACCATACTATGTCCATGAATTTTGCCTTTAACTGTATTACTGGACCCTTGCTTATGCTACTTGTTTTGCTGTTGTGCTGTGTTCAGTCGAAATGTCTGCGGAGACTGTGCGGGATACGTTTCTTCCGATTGTGGAGCGACTGGTCACTCATACTCCAGATAGCATACCCTTTCTACAACCTGTCGATCCGATTCTTTTGCACTGCCCTGTAAGTGAAGGAGTCACAGAACACTGGTTTAGCTTTTCACTGTTTGCTGTACGCTGCTTTGCTGATGTCCACTGCCAATGGGTTGGCTATGTACTGCGTGTAACTTGGCGACCAAAGCTGTGGATTAGTTCCTGTGTCGTTACTGTGTGAATTAGTTACTGTGTTCCCTAGTGATGACACATACCGTGAGTATATTCATGTGTGCGTTTGTGCTGTGATATCTTGACCCATCAGTAGGGATGTCAGCGAACGCACTGCGCAGGCCTCTGCGCATGCATTGCGTCATCGATTTTTTGAACGTGATCGCGGCCGACAGAGAAAACATGGCCGCGGTCTGTTTGCACCGCTGGGAGTCGTAAAATTACTGTTCTTCTGTCCCCGCGACCATTCAAATCATACGCGATACTCGAGGACCCACGAACTCACCACGTTCTCCCCGGTCGATTTCTCTGAAAGTTTGCACATCGTGAAACACCAGTATGAGAGGTGTTCAGGCCAATTTTCAAGGAATTTCCCTGGTTGGATCGTTCCAAAATCGGACTTCCATTTCTCGCTCGCGGCCATTTCTTGCGCGATGGAAGCGCCCTGCCCTGGTGAGTAACCAGCATCGCGCTTGGTAGAGAGTTGCTGCAATCAGCTCCCTGATGTCTTCGCTGCCATTGTCAGAAGCGATGGACCATGAATTTGTTTGAGAGTCTCTGGATGCTACTATTCCTCAGCCTAGTTTTCAGCCATTCCGTGCATCTTCTTCGCACGATTTATTTTGCAAAAAAATGAAAGTGTTCATGAGTTTTCTTGTCGGCCGCGCGTAGATGGGCCAGGCTGACCTGCGCAGATGGGCTGCGCAGTGCGTTCGCTGATATCCCTACCATCAGGACTATCCGCAGAGCGTGTATGTGTGTTGGGTATATTCATGCATGCGTACGTGTCCTGATGTTTGACGTTTGTGCTGTGATGTCTTGATCCATCAGGACTATCCGCAGATTGTGAAGGAGCCAATGGATTTGTCAACTCTGAAACAGAAGCTTGTCGACCTAGAATTCACCGATCCGTGGGAATTCATTGCGGATGCCTACAAGATTGTGGAGAACGCATGGTTGTATAATAAGAGGACCAGCAAAATTCACAAGCAAGCTACACGAGTGAGTTCCGTTGTCCTTTCCTTACCTGAATCTGTGCTGTTAATCTCGTAATATGCTTCAAATACTGACTGCTTAGTACTTCGTACGGTTGTGTTCAGTGGGAATTTGACCAAAGTGCATATTCCACGCCCTCAACTTGCACTGTCCTGGCAGTACTGCGGATGTGACTGGACATGTACACATGTACTGGCATTATGCGCAATTGTACTTATTATGCTGAAGTTGCCCCGACCCCACCTACTGCAATAAGGAGCTTTCTCACCAATAATCGTCATAGTTCGTACGTCATAGTTAGCTGTTTGGTCGGGATAATAAATCATTGTCTATTGGTTAACCCATCTTCCCCTTATTTCTGTCTTTTGTTGTTCCGATGCAGCTAAATGAGTTCTTCGAAAAGATCATCGATGAGCCCATGCAGAATATTGGATTTTGTTGTGGCAAGTCGGTGAGTACTATTTCACTGTAGCGTGGTTGTGCTATCGCATTCTATACTCTAGATATGCTATAAGGTGGGAACTATGCTGGTATGTGTGTTTAGTTATGCTATACCTTTGCCTTTTTCTCAGACAACTCATTTTGTCCTTGTTCCTGTTGATCTACAGAGGTTCTACACAGCTCAAGTGCTGTATTGTGCGTGCAAATCCTGCGCTATTCCTCGAGATGCGGTCTGCTATGTGTACAAGGGCATTGAAGCGTCAATTCACTATTGCAAGAAGTGCTTTAGTGAAGTCAACAAGTCCGTCAATATGGGATCTGAAGGGTACGTATTTGTCTTACTGTTCCTAACTCTCTGCTAATGTAGTGCATGCCCTAACTTAATCCACACTAGTTCGGGATATACATGTATATTTTTTGATAATAATGTTTTCCTTCCATGTTTGTTTTCTCGCTTCTATTTTCAGAGACGTATTGAAAACGAAGTTTCAGGAGATGAAGAATACCGTCAACGACCCTGAGCCCTTTGTGTTTTGTTCGATTTGTGCACGGCGTATGCACAAAGTTTGTGTTGGCTTCCATCCCTCCATCTGGAAAAGAGAGTAAGTGGATGCGTTGGTTTGGGATGTGTGAATTGGTTGCCATTGTTGTGTGCTCTGTCCTTATCATAATTGTACATGATGTGTGAGTATGGGTGGGTATTAACTAAGCTGACTGCACACCTCTCTGCACTTGCCTGTTTGCATTTCAGCTATGAGTGCAAGGAGTGCCTGACAAAGAACAACAAGACTGAACCTGTCAACAAGTTCACTGCTAAAGGTAACTATGGTTAGGCAGAGGTCTAGCCAGGATTTTATGCCAGCCGGCCAACGTTCTAGTTAAAATGCATCGTTCTGGGGGGCCATCAGTCACATATCCACACAGACACACACACACACACACACACACACACACACACACACACACACACACACACACACCACTACAAATCTTTCATTGCAGCTTGCATCTCCTTTCGCTTCGTCCAATTATGGGCATTCATCAGGCAGTTGTGAAAATGTGATTTAATATAGGTAAATTAACAAAATATGAAAAAGGAAGCAAACAGCTACATGAGCATGGATCATGTGTTCACCAAGGGCATGTCTGCATGCAGTGTACATTGGTCATCTGACAAGACCCAGTCTAGCCACAGCGAACCATGACCCAACCTGTTACATTTTACTGACGTACTCAAGTGCATACTCAAATGCATTTGAGCTTGATCTTGAGTGAAGAGCTAGCACTGAGCCTGAGTAGCCAGTGCTACGTACTGTACTGTACATTACCTACCCCTAGGATATGGGTTGTACTCCACCATCTCAAATCAAGTGCTAGTGCAGTGCACTACAGTCTACATGGAGGTGACTGCAGCCGGCCAAAATTACCCTTGGAGCTGTCTCAGTTACCCTTGGAGCTGTCTCAGCCGGCTTTGGCTAGATGATCACTGGTTAGGAGAGGGTTATTAGATCAGAAGGACAAATCGTTTGGAAAGGATATGTCACATCATAAGTTGCGCAGGGATAACAATGTTACCACTGGGTTTTTGGCAGGTAGAAGAACCTTGGGGTACTGCCGGGCAGGTGCAAAATTGAATACTACCATATACTTGCCAACCTTTGCAAACCTGAGATCATATCTTGGTATGAAAATGTATACAAATGTTTCCAGTAAAAGTCTTGTCTTCCAGACCAGGTATCTCAAAGACAATGTTTTCTGCTGCGTTGCCGACATCTGTGGAACTATAGTGCATTCGCCAAATCGATTCACTTGGCAGCGCACAATGGATAAGCAAAGCATGAAAAAGTGAAATCAATGTGTAAACATGTAGACTGTATAGTAAACTATGGAATTGTGTGGAGTGAGATGAGAGAGACAGACACAGACACAGAGAGAGAGAGAGAGAGAGAGAGAGAGAGAGAGGACGACTGGGTTGGTTATTGGGTTATCTGGCATTGGCGAAATCTGGGCATTGATACTGGTATTCACCTAAATATTTGTTCATGGCTTTTTCTCTTGCTGTTTGTAGCACTGCCGCGCAATGCTCTAGATACATACCTTGAGGAGAGAATCAACGCTTACCTTGCAACTGCTGATACTAACCGTGAAGCTGGCCACATTCACATCCGCGTGCTCTCCAGTAGCAAACAGACGGTGAAGGTCAAGGATGCCACCAAAGAAAAGTAAGTCATGTCTGTTGTTGATGGCAGTGGCAGCGATGGTGCTGATGCTGTTGTTTTTTTAAAAATTTATTCCACGCGTAATAGACCTCGTATAGCCCTCTTCACTCCGAATGAATCTAGGGTATGGTTGTGGGATTTTGTTTGTTCAATTTGCTGTACAGTCAACTTCGCTAAAAATGACTGCGGATATAACGACAATTTGCAGCGAATAACGGCAGAATTTCCATGCCCAGAGCAAAGTCCCTTCTCACTGTAATACATATAATGAGGCTTCGGGTATAACGACACTTCGCGAATAAGGACACCTTTTTGATGCCCCGCCGAGTGTCGTTATAAGCGAAGTTGACTGTATATGGCATTCTACTTGTTAAGGTTCTGTGCCGCCATAAGGTTTGATCAGCAAATAGAGCACCAAAGAATGTGCAAACCATAGTATACCTACTGTATTCTCAAGCAAGAAAAAAAGATCCAAGGGTACTTCAAGAAAACGGGCAGGAACCTCTGGTGTGTTTTTCGGTGTTTTCCTTCTGGCTAGTAGGAATATACTGGGTACCTGTCTATCACTGTGTACTAGAGTGTTCACAAATCATCAAACATCTGTCATACAAACCAGCTTTTTTTTATTATACTCAACTCTGTGTGTGTTTGTGTGTACATGTGCGTGTATGTTTCTTCCATTAACCCAGGTTTGATGAGCTAAGTGGCACATCTTTTCCGGAGGAATTTCCTTATGTAGCAAAGGCTGTCTTTGCGTTTGAGGAAATTGATGGCGAGGAGGTGTGCTTCTTTGGCATGCATGTGCAGGAGTTTGATTCCGACTGTCCCGAGCCTAATAGGCGGTAAGATCTATATCCATCTTGTGTTTCTACTTCTCTCTCTCCCTCTCCCTCCCTCCCCCCCCCCCCCCCCCCTCTTTCTCTCTCTCATCTTTGACTTTGTTTAGTTTGCTGTACAAGTGCATGTACTACATGTAACACCGTTGACTGCTGAGTGAAATCTCTTCAAGACTTGCTCTCTGTTCTCTGCGTATTTTTATTGTAGGCGTGTATACCTTTCGTATCTGGACAGTGTCCATTTCTTCCGACCAAAGCATTTGCGTACTCAAGTGTATCATGAGCTGCTTGTCGCCTATATGGACTATGTAGCAAAGCGAGGCTTTGTCACTGCTCACATTTGGGCATGCCCTCCTGGGGAAGGCGACGACTACATTTTCCACTGCCACCCATCTGAGCAGAAGACACCAAAGCCGAAGCGTCTACAAGAGTGGTACAAGACCATGCTGGACAGAGCAGTTGCTCAAAAGGCTGTTATCGATTATCGGGTAAGTGCTCTAAATCAACTAATTTTCGCTGATTTCGCCGCTTGGTTCCAACTGGCCAAAGTTTGTCATCGAGGCAAATTATGCATAATTCAGCCATGGCTGCATGTGTGGGCAACAACTAACGATATTTTTGAAAACTCCAATCGGCCAAAGTTTAATGACGGCCAAAAGTTTCATTTCCAATATAGGTAAAGTTTCTCACCGGCCAAAATTAGCTCGGCTTCAACACATCTGAAGTCGATCCGAGGTCGAATAGTGGAGTTACGGCACTCGCAAGGTATTTTACGTCCCGTTGCAAATTTTCACTTCCGCAATTGGGTGGCAATCATAATATTATTATTTTTGACATGAAGGATTTCCCTCCGTTGCGTGACTGTCCGGGCATGCATAGAACTGTTTGACCGCAGACACAGGTCTTTAGCGGTCAGCTACAAAAGAAAGGAGCGCCCTACGATGAATGCTACAAAAATACCATGGATCTTAGCGAATTGCCTCAATTTCCCGTTGCGCGTGTCTTTCCAAGGCTATACTCCTTTATACTGCCGCTGCAGTAGCACTCTAGCTGGTGAAAATCCCACTGGTTTGTTCCTCTTGCTTTCCAGAATGTTTGAGATTCATTGTCAAAATTGTTGAAGGGAAACTAAAGTTGTAGTGCGAACAGCATCCATTTGTAGTGCGGACGGTAATTGTCCAGGAAGAATTTGGCAGCTACTGGGTATCGAATCCAATTGGGGGTATGGCAAGATGTTGAAAAAACCCGTATTGTGCTCGCCTTGGATAGATAAGGCAAGCGAATTTTTTTGGGGGGGGGAGGGGGTTGGTGGGGACTGCTCTCCCACCACTCTCCTTGAGAGGATAGCGAGAGTGATTGTTCACTCTCCTGGATTTTTCTTACACGAAGGTCTGCACTTCCGTTCTTCAGAACGACGGGCTTTCATGACGCAGAGAAGGCAGCGCTGTTCTTTTGTGTTGAAATCGTTCCAGGACAACTGCAGCGATTGAAAACTGCTTCACAGAACTTCGTAGAAGATGATAATAATGTCCAATGACTTCGTGTCGATCCAGTGTTTTGGTGAAATGAATTGATCTTGTTGTTCATGATCACCTATGTTTCGTTGATGCAAATAAAATGTGCAAAAATAATCAGGACACAATTTCGAGCATTTTGACGTACATATCAGTACATGGGACTGCATTAATGGATAATTAGAAGTTCCAGATAATTCGAATTTAGGGCCTGGCAATTTGAGGTTCGAATTAGAGGGAGTCTACCTGTACTTGCAATCTTTGAAAACGGTCTATTCTTTCAAAGGCTGCTCTAAGACGGCGCTGAAAAGACACCTCAACACCAAACAGCAGTCCGAAGTGAAGCAGCAGCAACCCAAATCCGGCGGTGATAATTTGAACCGGCTGAAAAATCGAACTTTGAAAAAATATTTAAAAAATCATATTTGCCATATCAATGAAACTCGTTAGCTCGCTCGATAGCTTGCTCGATAGCTTGCTCGTTAGTGGAACTGATTGCTCGTTTGTTATAGATACGCTCGTTTCAACACTAGTATTTATGACAGTTGTGGACGTTCTTTGTGAGGATATACTTGCAGTCTAATGTTGTTTATCCTTTCTCACTTTTTTGATCTTTCAGGATATTCACCTGTCTACACTTCAAGATGGAGTCAGCGTACCGTCCGGCTTGCCATACTTTGAGGGTGATTACTGGCCTAACATGGTTGAGCAGATCATCCAGGACATAAGAAAGGAGGAGGAAGAAGAGAAGAAGATTGCAGCTGAGGCCGAGGTATGCATTGTCTCCAGTGCGGCTTTACAGCTGATTTTTTTTACATCTTTTTTCGAACACTTGTAAACTTCACCCCAAACTTTTTACCACACTGGGCGGATGTCATTTTGGCATCAGCAGCAGTTCGTCTTGTGACTATTGGCAATTTGAATGGTTCAATGCTGCTGAGATGGTGGAGTGCATGGGATTCATGTGTTTTTAATTGTAACAACTCACCGCTACGGAATTTTGAAGAAACTACCTCATGCGTTGGTTGCTTACGCTTTTCCTGCTGACTTGACCCGTAACTGACTTACGACAACACCATCCAGAGCACATAATGAGTCCACTGAACGGAAAAGTGGGAAAGGTGCACTCTCGAACATTGAGAGCAACGAACTTTCTTAAAATCATCGCGAAGTTGTTACAACCGTTTCGTTTCTTATGTTTTTCAAAACTACAATGTGCTCACAGCTATTCCTCAAATTGCACTGCTCTTCACTCCAACTCCGTTTTATTGTTACTCGACGTTCTGTGATGTTGATGACCAGATTATGAGGAGGCAGGGTCAATACTCACATTAATGTTAGTGATTCTGATATGCTGGCCATTGAAATTGTGAGAGGGGTTTGATGACTTACAGTAAGATCGGGCGCCGAAGAACACCCAGGCTGGAAAACCGGCAAAATTTAAGAACAGTCCAGGCTAGAATTATCAGATTTAAGAACACTAGATCTACATTGTACGTAGATCTACATTGTAGATGTACGGGAGGTGAGTCCATGTCATGTACACGTGTAAACAGTAACTGCTACATGTACAGTCATTCCCATTTACGACACCCACTAGTTTAGAAGTACTACATTGCACTACATGTACATGTACATGTACATGTACATGACAAACGTCATGACGTCACTCGACTCGCCGCGCGCGTGTGAATAAGAACGGTCTGGCTAGAATCAAAAATTTAAGAACTTTCCTAGGCTGCGCTCGAGCCCCTGCGTTCTTCGGCGCCCGATCTTACTGTAGGTCTGTTGTTGTGTGCCTGTATATTGCCCAACAGGTCAAGCAGAAGAATGGCAAGAAGGGATGCTCACGGAAGTCTGGCAAAAAAAGCGGGCTGCAGAAGAGCAAGCCAGCACAGAAGAGGGATGTCGCTGTGCGTGTGCTGACCCTGGTGGAGAAGCACAAAGATGTAGGTCGCTGTTTGTGTGTTTCACTTTTTTTTGCGCTACGTTTTCTTGTCTCTCGTTGGTTGCGCCAAGAGTACATAACCCCCAAGAGTGTGCAACTGCCTGCAGAACCTCTATGCTGTGCTGCGACGGCAGAACTTCACATCACATGACATGGTTCAAAAGGTTATGCTGGCAAACAGTGCAAAGTGACCACAAGAGAGTTGTACCCAAAGCTGGTTTGCGTACAACCCTGTATCTATCATGCACAGAGTGCAAATAATGTGTACGGGTTCATCACGTGATGTGAAGTTCTGCCGCGGCAGACCCCATAGCTGGAGTTGCACACTCTTGGGGGTTATGTACTCTTGGTTGCGCTGACTAGTTTGATTACATATGCATGCATTGTTGTTGATTTGTTTCTGACAAGATTGTTTCTTCTGGGTGTAAATAGCATAGAAAGATGTTCGCTCCACTCACCGGAGCTCCGCGAACTTTACTTAACTTGTTTGTTCAGTATCATGGTGTATACCATATGGTACTGGTTTGTGAAATATTGCCTTCGGCTGTTACTCCTTTAGCAAGTTCTGCTAGTAGCCTAATACTTTCTAATAACTTAGTAGCCTAATACTTTCTAATAACTTAGTTCCTAGCTCCTCGGAGGTTGCTGGTATTATGTCCTACCCCTATTTGTTGTATTCGTTGCTGCCACATTTCCTTAGATTTGCTTTATTCTTGTTCTCTTTGGCCAGGTGTTCTTCACCATTCGACTGATACCCGCGGACAAGGTGGCGGACCTCGAGCCCATACAGGATGTGGACGAGCTGCGAAGTGGCGATCTGATGGAGGGCCGGGACTCATTTCTTACCTACTGTCGCGAGAACCGTTTTGAGTTTTCGTCTGTGCGCCGCGCGCGGTACGCTACGCTGTGCATGCTCATCGAGCTGCACGGCCAGTCCAATGTATTCGGCTACTTCTGCAATAAATGCTCTGCTGCCATTATTGGAAGTCGTTCCCATTGCACAGTGTGTGAGGTAAGTCTGCCGTGGCAAACATTGCTATTGACCGGTGTGTGTGTTTCCAGATTTTGTTTGTATTTGTTGTCTCAAGTTCTCTTACTTCTTCTAGAGTAGACTGTACATAGAGGTACACGATAGAATTTTTAATCCACATGAATGTAGCTTCTTCTGTACAACATGCAACACTTGCAGATTTCAAGTTCTTTACTCACCAGTAGTGTCCAGATCTGCCTCCATTCTGTATCTGATTGTTGTTTTGTACGTGTCTGTGCCTCGTTGTGCTAGGATTATGACCTGTGTTCTAAGTGCTATCAGGAACACGGCCATGATCACCCGATGGAGCAGATCCACAACATGGTCGGTGGTGATGAGAGCTTTGAAGGTGCCACGGGTAAATCTCAGCAACCTGAGAACCAGCGCTGCTGCATCAAGCGGTGTCTGGACAGTCTTGTTCATGCGTGCCAATGCTCAGCCCCCGAAGGAACCTGTAGCGAACCGAGTTGTGGCAAAATGAAGAGAGTAGTTGTCCACATCCGCACTTGCAAGCTCAAGTCTAATGGAAACTGTCAAATATGCCGTCAGCTCTTGCTTCTATGTTGCTATCACGCTAAGCACTGCAAATCCTCACCATGTCCAGTGCCGCTTTGTACGAATATCAAGCAACGAAAACAGCAGCGAGCAACGAAGGGCCGGCATATGCAGAATATACTGATGCAGCGCCGGATGGCAGCCATGAACATGGGTGACAGCAGTGCACCTGCAATTCAGCAGCAGCAGCAGCAACAGCAGCAGACTCCTGCTGAATCTAGTCCTGGCAACAATACAGCGAGTGAGATTGGGAAGCGTATGCCTACCCCAGATCAGGTATCTACACCAAGTTCCGATCAACTGAGATCCAACCAGTGGCCATCTGGTAATATCCAGCAGTCCCTAGCTGCCACCTCTATGCAGAGTCTGCCATCTGCAGCGTCTTTATTGCAGCCGCCCAACAGTGCATCGCCAACTCTTGCAGCCAGCAGCCAGCAGTTTAATGCTGCCGCTGCTGCCATGGGCCTGAATCCAGCAGCTGCGGCCGCAGCAGCTGCTCAGCATACCGGTCAAAGTTCTGCTGCTAACTCTCAGCTGATGCGCATTCTAATGAATGACAGCAAGGCGCTCAGTCCCCAGCAGCAGCAACAGCTACAACGCCAACGTATGCACCAAATGCAAATGCAGGCACTGGCATCAACGCAACAGCAGGCCAAGCAACCTCAACAGCAACAGCAGCCGCCACAGCAGCAACAACAACAGCAGCAGCAACAGCAGCGGCAAGATCTCAACCGTCAGCAGCTGGTGGAGGCAGAGCGTCAGCAAAAGTTGGCGCTCATGCTTCAAAATATTCAGTCCCAACCTGGTGTTGCTACTCAGGGTGCTGTGAACAACGGAATGCTGGGCGGTGCGCAGGCCGAGTTTCCTTCCCCGCAAGCAGTTCAAGAATACTCCAAGTCACATCATCTACCTGCCGATCAAGCCAGGGCCATGCTTATTAGCTACATTCGAAAGAAGCAGCAGAAACTTCTTCAGCAGCAACAACAGCAGTACCAACAGCTAATGCAGCAAAGGCAACAGGCAACATCAGATCAGCAGTCACTTCAGCAGCAGCAGCAGCAGCAGATGTCGCTTGCCCAGCAAGCTAATGTTGTTACTGACACACTGCAGCAGTTCCAGCAGCAACTGCAACAGCAGCAACATCCAGCCACGCCACAGCAACTGCAACACCTTCGGCAGCTTCAACAATTGCAGCTTCAACAACAGCACAAACAGCAATTGCAGGCTACGAGCGAACAGCAACAGCAGCAATTACAGCAGATGCAGCAGATCCAACAACTCCAAGAGCAGCAGCAGCAACAGCAGCATGAGCAGTCGCAGGCACTTCAGCAACAGCAGCATGCTCTGAGTGCTGCTGCTTCTGGCCACGCTGCTTCCAGTCTGTCTTCCGATTCTGGAATCGCAGATGTTGCCCTTGGAATGCCATCGTCGGCTAGCTCAGCCAATGTTCTGCAGCAAATGGCAAATAGCACATCTCCACCAGCTGCGAACAACATCTTATCGAATGCATCTGTTGGTGCGCTAAAGTCCTCGCCATCACCAGTTGGATCTCTAGCTGGCCTACCTAATACTATGCAGCCTTCACCAAGCATGATGCCATCTGAACTTGGTGGCTTTGAGAAGCTGCTGTCGGATCCCATGATGACCAGTTCGCCATCGCTGTCGGGTTATAACAGTTTGCCGTCAATGGTAAACCCCGTTGATGATGTCCTGGCCGATCCAGGCTCTTCATCTGGTGATAAGCTGGAGCATCTGGTCAACACTCTGTAACTCTGTTGTCTGTCTTGAGGAGGTTGAGGAGAACACTATGCCTGTTGATATATCCTACAAGTGACCCACTATATACGCATACGAACTACGCTGACGTTTGCTCTGAATTCACCGGGGCTTGTGTCTACGTGTGTCTATGCATGCAGTGCCGTGAATATGAAACCCATACCTTTTCGCCACACTGGTGCTAACATTGAGTGTCGTTTTATTGTCCGGTTTTTTTTATCCCCGTTTTCAGATTCACCTTAGGTGGGCGAGTCTGCCCTCTTTATGTTGTCTCCTTGCGTGCTATTGACTATCCTGTTCTGCTGTCTTTTTATCCCATGAGTGAAATTTTCGCTTTAGTCAAGAACTCACACTTAAACGTTTTTTGGTTTTAAACTTCGCCTTTTTAGACAAGCACACTTTTGTGTGAACCCTGCCTGTGTGGCCACGGCTTTGGAGGTTTTATTTTCAACATTGATGACCAACTGATTTTTTCTCTTGTCTCATATCTCAACTGTACATAGCTGCCAGTAGGTGGGTGTTATTTGTGTCGTTTTGCCCTATGAAAATTACTTACTCGATGACTATGATTTGAATCTATTTTCTGCTTAAATTGTCTTGCTCTCGTCATGTGTTCAGGCGGTGTATTATATTGCCTGGCTGGTGTGCTGATTGTGTGATGCTATGCTGTATGTCTTGCTGGCCGGATATCCTCAATCATCCGCATTGTCGCTGCAATCTATTGCACACCTGCACTGCCGTTGTGTGCGTGTGTACCTTCTAACATCCCGTGGTATGTATGGATTACTGCCCGAGTGCGAGCGAGTACAATACTGGCTAATAAAATGATTGAACGGCATCAGCCGTGACGTCATGTATCAAGCCGGTATTGCCCATTAACGGGTGAGATTACAAGTAGTTGCAGTAAATCATAACATTATTTTTGTTGCAGGCTTGACACCCTTACGTACAGATATAGGTGAGCATTGCAATTCCTTTTCTTGCACTTCTTTGACCTGGACTTGGGTTCGTTGAGAAATGTACGTTTGAGGCTTTGAGCTCTGATTGGACACCCTTAGCAAACAACGGTAACACTATTTTTTACGGTACTCGTACCTTGATCACCCAAATAGCGTTGAAGCTGCAGAGTATAAACGTTATGGGGGCTGATTTATCGTTGTGACCAACGGTACGTGTTTTTTAAAATAATAATAATATCTTTATTAGGATGACCCAGATCAGAGGCTTGTCGCCTATCAAGGGGTTCACCGCTTTGAAGGATGTACACTATCAAGGGGTTTTTGGCCAGATATTGCATAGTCCGTACGCATTTCACCTTGTATCGCGTATATGGTGACAAAAATGGTTGTACCGCGCGAAATCAAAGCTACTCTCGTGGCAACAGCGTACTAAAGATAGCGTGCATCTTGCTAAAGGTCGAACCCAAATCACGGTATTTTCCCCCTTTACGATAATACCGTTACAGCATAACGGTTTTTTGCTAAGGGTGTCTATTATCTTTGATTTCTTCTTCTTATTATTATTATTATTATTTAAATTTTGAATAGGGCAATCCCCACAGGCCTAAGGCCTTTTTACAGGGTACCCTATGTGGTCACGTATAGATTTGCGGAATAGTGAAAGCGAGGAGCAAGAGCGAATGTCAGCTGGAAGAGAATTCCAGCGGTCAGAAGCCAGAAAGCTCAAAGCGAATAAGCCATAACGAGTGCGTGCTTTAGGCAGAGCAAGTGAATCTATGGACTGGGAACGTGTATGGGCAGCTGTGCGTGTTGTGGCAGAACGAAGGCAGAAGCAATCAGAGAGCAGAGTGCTACACATGCCACGTATGGCCCGAAAGACAAGAATATACAGTTTAAGCTGATAGCGCAGTGCAATAGGAGCAAGGCCATATCTGGTGTGTAAGACTGAAACATCATAGTGCCAAGGGAAACCAAAAACAATCCTAACAGCGCGGTTAGCAATACGAGTTAGTCTATCATGTTGTGTGGTGTGAAGGCAGTGTACAAACGCATTAGAACCATACTCAAGGTGTGCTTGAATAAATGAGCAGTAGAAGGTCTTTCTCGCAGCCGGTGTCAGATTGTCCCTGATCTTCCGGAACATGGCAAGTTTTGTTCCGACCTTTTTCTCAACTTCAGTGACATATGAGGAGAATGATAGATGTTCGTCAATGGTGAGGCCAAGATACTTCACCGTTGGTGTTGGGGATATGAGGACATCGCCGAGCCGAAGACAGATGTTAGGAGGAACACATTTTGTTTTTTGTCTTATGATGATAAATTGAGTCTTGGAGTTATTAAGATTGAGACCTCGGTCACGTAGGTACTCTCTGATGACAGATATGTCAGCAGAGAGATCATCAGTGAGTTTCTGCAAGTTCGTGCCTGCCTTATACATAGACACGTCGTCTGCAAATTGCCGAACCTTGCTCGTGATGGTACATGATGGCAGAGCTCGGACAGATAGGTTAAAGAGGGCAGGACCCAATGTTGACCCTTGAGGTACACCTCTTGTAGGTGTGTACTGTTCACCTTCCTGATACTTTGTGACTACTCGTTGGCGACGGTCACATAGGAAACTAGCTATCCATTGCAGTGCAGTACCACCGACACCAATAGAGAAGAGTTCTTGTAGAAGAGAGGCGTGATTGACTGTGTCAAATGCTTTGCTGAGATCGAGAAAAGCAGCGACAACAAATTGGCCCTTGTCTAGACATGCTTGCCAGTCGTTTGTTGTCGTGGCTAAAAGATCTTCGCAGGAATGCTGCTTGCGGTAGGCGAACTGTTCATTCGGCAACGCGTTCGGAAATGATTCACCTTGTATGTGCGACATGATCTGCTCATACGCGCACCTCTCCAGCAGCTTGGAAGCGATCGGGAGGAGGGAAATAGGTCGATAATTACTGGGATCAGATGAACTCCCGCGCTTGTGAATTGGACGAACGTTGGCAATCTTGTATAAAGAGGGAAAAATACCTGATCTGAAAGAGATGGTGAAGAGCTGGGCAAGAGAGGGAGCGATTTGTTTCTGGAGGAGTTTGTAGATGGACGGAGGTATTTTATCTGGACCACTTGCTTTGTGGCTGTCAAGGCGTTTCAAATGGGACACTATGGTTGCTGCTGACACCGGTTTAAACTCAGTGAGGGACGGCTCTGGCATTGGTCCGATCGGTAGTTCGATACCTGTGCCTGATCGTGAGGGTGCACTCGAAGCGCGCTGTGGAGCGGTCGGTGACACGTTGAGGTGTCCAAAGGTCACGGTGCTAGCTGCACCTGCAGGTGTTGCTGGGGCAGGGGCTCGAGGTGAGACTATCCTGGCGAACGTTGCTGAAATGTCTTTGACTGAGGCATGGGGCTCATGGTACACAGTTGTTCTCCCAAGCAAGGAGTTGATTGTTTTCCACTGTAGCCTTGGGTTGCGATTGTTTCGAGTCAGTTCATTTTGGAAATACGCAGCTTTCTTTCTTCGCATGAGGAGTTTACTTTCGCGCCTTAGAGCACGGAAAGCCTGAGTTAGACGTTGATCATCCGGTCTCTGTATCATTTTCCTATGTGCTCTTTTCCGGCGATAGAGTAATTGCCTTAGTTCACCGTCCACCCAAGGAGAAGGTTTGTATCGTGGTGACGTGGTGATGGTCGTGGTCGGACAATGCTTGTCATTCACTATTACACTCGTACATTTCATTTCTTGTTATGATTGTGGTTTCGATGCTGGATACTTCAAGACTGGAAAATTATTCTCTTTTAACTTAGGTGTGTTGGAATGATGGCACAGCTCATTGATGCCTATCATTTACCTTCCGTTTATGTTCACGGTGCCAGATCTATGAACCTTTCGTCGCCGAAAGCTGTTGCAGGCTGACCCACATTAGGGGTCGTCGCAAAAGTTTTTGTCATCCCTGAAACAAACATTGTTCTTTTCGTACCCGGCCCCTAGGGGCCGGCGTTCCGGGTACGAAAAGAATGATGGCCCTCCCCTACCTCTGAGACGAGCGCAGCTTGCTTTGCTGGACGACGAAAATTTGATTTCGTGCTTCGGAAACTTCTTCAGCTGAGCACCCTCACAGCTCGCACGATGCGCAGCATCATGCGCTCCATTCTGATTTTCACCCACGTTCTGGCGGAACGTGGGTGAGCCTCCATACACGGTACGTCGTGAATCAGAAAACGTCTGTACGTGGGTCACTGAGTATCACGTGGTTCGGATACTTCCTCAACCCAGCAAAGTCCGTGCTCGTGGTTGTTGTTCATTGTTTTTTATTTGAATTCGCAATACCAAACGGGCAATAAGCCCATTTACATGGAAGCGAATAAAAGAATGCTAAGAATGAGGCATTGGGGTGGATATTATTTCAAGTGGAAAATACTGATCACGGGAGGTACTACAAATAGGTACAATGAAAATCTGAAAAGGCCATGGTACTGTCGTTTACCATGCTGGAAGCAGCTACATGGAGAAGGAAAAACAAAAAAGACGTTTTATCTCATGTATTGGACAAACAGAGCTAACAGGAAAAGACCGTTCGTTATATGCCTATACATACTGTCCGGGTGTGTGGGTGGGTGTGTGTGTGTGTGTGTGTGGGGGGGGGGGGGGGGGGGTGTGCATGTCACTGTTTCTCTTCTCTAAAGGGGAAGTATACCCTAAAATCAAATTTTCACCAGTTGTAGTCTTCGGGGTGCTGAGTCGAATGGTCTTGGTTCGAGGAAGCTGAGACGCTCCCTTCCCCCTTTATTCCCAATCGAACTCGCGCACTTCCACCGAAACTGGTTGACTGCGCCCTACTAGACGGGGATTTGTATGCAAAATGTCACTGAAAGCGCCATTTCGTTCTTATAAAAGCACAGATGACCGCGATTGGCCCATATGCTGTAGTCTTTTGGACGCTGAGTCGACTGGTTTTGGTCCGAAAAGGCTGCGATGCAGCGTTCCTCCTTTATTCCCAATCGAACATGGTTGAACAAGCGGTCACGTGCTCCTGCGTACACCAGTCACCTGGTCACCGTGCCTGCAGGGTACAACTTACTAGCCTGTTTGACCTTTTTTGGGTGCAGTCCTGTCACTCGAGTTGAACTCGAGTTGAACCTTGGTGTGAAAGTTGTCGCCTGCTGGCGTGGTGACCAGGTGATTTGGGCACCCAGGAGCACGTGACCGCTTCTTCAACCATGTTCGATTGGGAATAAAGGAGGAACGCTGCATCGCAGCCTTTTCGGACCAAAACCAGTCAACTCAGCGTCAAAAAGACTACAACATATGGGCCAATCGCGGTCATCCGTACTTTTATAAGAACGACATAGCACTTTTAGTGAGATTTTGCACACAAATCCCCATCTAGTAGGGCGCAGTCACCCAGTTTCGGTGGAAGTGCGCGGGTTCGATTGGGAAAAAAGAAGGAAGGGAGCGTCGCAGCTTCCTCGGACCAAGACCATTCGACTCAGCACCCAGAAGACTACAACTGGTGAAAATTTGATTTTAGGGTATACTTCCCCTTTAAAAAAACGTTTATGGCCTGAGAGTGTACGGGTACACGGCTGCTGGGAAATCGGCCATGGCTTTGCAGGAACGTACACTGGCTGGCAGAGTGTTCCACAGCGCAGGTCCACGGAAGAACGGTCGGCGAGTGCCTGTATTCGTCCTGGCCAGCGGGAGAATGAGCCCGGCGTTGGCTTGATGTCGAGTTGGGGCCGTGGTTGCGGGCGTCAGCTGCTTTGAAAGCGCTGTACTACATTGGCCGTTCAGGCCGCGCCAGATGAGATCGAGGAG